GCGAGGGGGCGGGCGGGACCGCGCCGGCGGTATAGTGCAGTACTGTACAAGTACAGTAGGGGCCGCGGCACCTCAGGTGAGGCCGGGGAGGGGGAGCCCCCTGGGGAGGGGAGCGGGGCTGATAGCCAGCCTGCTCTGCACTTTGGGCCCCCCTCCTCTGGCTGACTGACTGACCTCCTGCCGAGCCCGGCCGCCCGCTGGGACCCCCCTCCCCCCCCCCACACCTCTCTTTCGACTTTTGCGACCATGGTGCGACCTTGGTGTGCCGCGAGCGCGGGCCGCGGGTGGCGTGGCGTGGCGGAGCCGCGGGGTGCAGGACGAGCAGATAAGGAAAAAGGACTCGCCCTGGCCGGGATCACGCTGTACTGTACCCTTGGCCGGTGCAGAGTGCGGCCGCGAGGCCGGGCAGTCTAGGCGCGGCTCCCCCCTAGTCCATGCCAGGTCGGGTGAACCCTTGCCCCGGCCAAAGGTGCGTGTCGCCGCAATGCCGATGGCCAGAGAGTGGGGAAGGCGCTAGACCAACACTGGGCGTGTTTGAACGGCAAGCGTCACGCCGGCGGCCAGCTCCGGGACCGCGGTGACCTCCTCCACGTCCTGCAGCAGGATGTATAACGAGGGCTCCAGGAGCTCGGCTCCTCCAGGGAAGGAGCGCGGCCGTGCCGGGGCTCTGAGCGCCTCGCCACATAAGGAGGCGTTCCCGCTGCAGGTCGTTGCAGGTAGCTGCAGGCAGGAGCCGAGCAGGACACGAGCAGGGAGCAGCGAGCAGCGGCAGGCGCAGTGAGAAACGAGGCCGAGTTGTTCACATCCAAAGGACTCAGCAAGGCAGAAAGCAATTAAGAAATTTTTCATCGGCGCAAGGCCGATCGCGCAGGCATCAATTGCGAATCGCAATTGTGGCGCAGTCAAGAGGGGGGGGGGGAGGGGGCTCTAGCTCCAGGCGCGCTGCACACGTGCAGGTCTGTGTGCACGGCCATTAAACCACACGGTACCGAGTACCGAGTGCCGCCCGCGGTCATTTCACGGCCAGCCCAGTGACAGCGAGCACCTCCGCGAGCACTTCCAGGAGCAACTCCGGGAGCACCTCCAGAAGCACCTCCAGGAGCACCTCCAGGAGCACCTCCAGGAGCACCTCCAGGAGCACCTCCAGGAGCACGCACCAGCAGCACGCACCAGCAGCACGTGCAGGACACAACGGCCCTATCGTGTGCAGCCGGGCCAGGTGCACCAAGCGCACACATGTTGTGTGCGGGGGCAGCGCCGAGCCAAGGCTGCAACTCACTGGACAAGTGCAAGGTTAGTCTGCGGGCGAGCGAACGCGGCTGCTGCGGCAGGGCAGGAGGGGGGCAGGTAGGGGCGCTGACGCAATGGCGACGCTATTGTGTGCTGCGCGACTGTGCGAGTGAGCGACTGCTGCGCGGGGTCGGCCGAGCGCTCTGAACTTGCGTGCAGCTCGACGCCGCCGGCCGGTGCGTGCACAGGTGCAGCTGGCGCGGCCCAAGGAGGGAGCGCAGCCTCTCGTCTGCAGCACGCTGAATAAATGCACATGACTGATAGCGGCTGCCGTTGCCACCGCGCGCCGCTCGGCCGTGAATCGACAGGCCAAAAGAAGGGAGGGGAGGTGGGTGGGAGGCACGGCACACGGGGGACAGGACAGAGCGCCGGGCCGGGGGCCGCGCGGGCCGCGACACAAAGGCCTAAGGGCGCCGCCGTGTTACGGCTGCCCGATCAAAGCGTGCATCATTTATCACAGTGTGTCCTGAAATAGCCGGCGGCGGGGCGGCGATGTCGGCCAGGTAAATGAAGCCATCGGCCTGACCGACACAACATGTAACGCGTGGAGCCCTCACGTGTTGCGTCACACACAAACACTGACGCACAAACACACAAGCACAAGCAAGCCGTGACCCGGGCGGCTCATCTCTGCTGGCGTCACAGCACCTCTCTCCCTCCCTCCCTCTTTTGCGCGCGCGCGCGTTCGCCAGTTTTTGTCCCACCCACACAAAATTCCGGGCGTGAAACGGCTTTAGCCCGTTCGTGACTCAGCAGCTCATGACGTGAATTATTAATGTCGAGAGTTCCTTTTCTACCTCGTGCAAGGATCCACGGTGTTCATTTGTTAGTTTTTCGCCAATATCGACCATTTGAGTCTAGGATGAGGTAGCTAGAAGAAGAACAGAAATTAAGGCGAACCAGAAAAGCACCGCCGTCTTCTGTTACGGTTATTTTCGTCTTCTCGCCACGTGAAATGATAAGGGGGTTTGTCCATCGTCTCTCAGTATAGCGCCTGGGGCCCGAGCGAATAGGCAACCCACCCGCACCCCTGCTCACCGTGCGGCATACCTAAGACAGAGGACGGCGCTAGGCGCTATGCGCCCCGTTTTTTGCACGCGGTCGGTCGAGCTCTGTCGCGTGTTCCTGGTTTCCCCACCCAGTCCAAAAGTCATTTAGACGCAAGAATGACCTCAAGGCACAAGAGGGTGCAGCGAGGGCTGCCCTCCCCCAAATACCCAGTGCGCCGAGAGCCGGGCGGGTGGGACGCAGTGTTTTCATCTCTGCCATCCGCAATGCTCTGCAGTGCGCCGCGCGTGCCGGGGCAAAGGGGGAAGATGGAAGGGAGGGAGGGGGCCGTCAAAGCTGCAGCCTTGAGGCGAATAATACCGCGGCGCAAAGCGCATAGAACGCGCGAAAATAAACAGAGTTACGTCATGCGCCGGCCGGCTCGCCGCGCTGGGTCCGCCTGGCGCACCAGGACCAGACCAGGGCGCCGTGCCAGCGCCAGGCGGCCCCGCCGGCCCGGGCCGGGCCAGGCCGGCAGCGTGACAGACAGCCGGCCGGCGACCAGAGCACCGCGAGGTCGGAAGTAGGTCAAAGGGGTGGCGCCGGCCCCGCCCCGCCCCGCCCCGCCGAGTGTGTGCGTTCAGCCGGCCGAATCAATGCGACCTTGGGCACAGACCGGCCCAAAACAAAATGACAGTTGAGACCCACCCGCGGCGGCGGCGGCCCGGCCCGGCCCGGCCCGGGCCCGGGCAGGCTCAGGTCGTTCGTGTCGAGGTGCGTGGAGGTGACTTTGAGGGATTGCCGTGGCAAATTACCTCTGCCCCGTCCCTGCCGTCCCGGAGCTGCGCGCCGCGTCGGCAGCCGGACACGGCGGAGCCAGGCGGAGCGCGCGCGGGCGGGGGCCGACGGGGACCAAACCCAAGATACAATGCATGGCTTCCAAATCCAATATGGCGTCAAGGCCGCGGGGCCGCAGGGGCGGGGGTGGCGGGGCGGAGACAGGGGGGCCCTAGACACGGTACGGGAAAAGGTCAACTGCCCAAGGGACAACCGGCCGGCGGGGGAAAGGCGCGCGGGCGGGGGCGGCACGGAGGAGGGCACGACGTGGTGGCTCCTCGCCTTCGCCCCGCCCCCGCGCGGACACCCACGCCGCCACCTTCCC